TACCGGCTTTTAATGCGCATACAGAGACTTTGCTTGTCTCTCTTATAAGAAACGCGTTTCCTTAACTTGTGGCCATCGCCACAAGATCTTGATGTGTGAGTGTATGACTGTGAATATTGATTCTAGTGAAAGTGGTCATTTCATTTTTTCGATTCGCCAAAAATATGAAATATTGGTACAAATGATAGAATACGCGTATGGCGCCATTTAAAGACCATTTAAAGCCCATTTGAAGACCATTTGAAGACCATTTGAAGACCATTTCAAGACCATTTCAAGTTATCGGAAAAAGTGGCTCATTGGAATACGTTGAATCAATGAAAAATCAATTGGTTCGCGTTTAATTATATTTTTCTTTGTAGACGAGTCAAAAGTTTCTTACTTGGAATCAAATAGCTGGAAAAGATAGCGCGTATCCTTAATTGAATATTCACACGCAGTAATTAATTACGAAGACTGTTTCGCTTCATATCATTTTTCGCTTTCGACGGTCGGTCAATGCACGCGAGAGATCGAACCATTCCTGAGATACTTTTACGCTACAAGAAAGTTTCCTACTAGTTATCTTTTTGCTTATAATAAACATACATTACTTTGTAACTATTTGAATGATTAGTATTAAAATCGGCTAGAAACGTAAATCTTGTAAATCTCTCGTCAAAATATTTCCGTCTGGTACGCGTGACGCTGCTTGAAAATAAGTAAAATAAGGTAAAAAAAAAAAAAAGTAATAAGGGAAGAAATTGATCTTTAATAAGGCGTATCGCGTTTCGATAGACGTTTATCGTTGGACACGTAGGATTAGATGATTTTCTTCAAATTCAATGATGTCACTCGACCTATTATGCATGCTGCGATGATTAGGATCCGTAAACGTTTACGTTTTCAAACAGTCTTCGGAGAATAACATTACTTTATTCTTATCGATAAGAAGAGAAGATGAAACATATGACGTTAATTAGACTCTTGACCTTTGACGAATATACTCGTAATTTAATTGCGTGCATGCATGCAACTTAAACAAATTATTTCGTTCTGTATAGATTAACTGATCAATAATATATTTCCAACGTAACTCTTTAGATATTGTTGGACGAGTTAGAATGTTCCAACGATTTGAAGTAACAGAGAAAATGGGGGAGAATAAGGCGGCTGGTTTGTTTGACGGTACTTTATTAGGACACCGCGATACGCTTCAGATTGAAAACTTAAATTGAAGAAGAAGAAGAAGAAGTCATCGCGCGGTACATGTAGGATTACGTATATAATGTCAGTTGCCTGTATGTATACGATTAAGTAAATGCACGCGTAAGTCAAAGAGTATGTGTCAGAGATACACATTCGATGAGGCAGCATCAGGATGCGCTTCATATACAAAGGAACTATCGTCATCGAGAGTTTGCTGCTCGACAGTTTAGGTCGGCCAACGTTTCGTGTAATCTCGTTACACCTACACATATCTCTATATATCTATGTATATATGCGTACATAAGAGAGAAGACGAAGATATCTAGAAGCTGAGAGGATAACGCCTGCTAATTGCAAACAATACTTGCTTTATCTGTCGGTTCAGGTGGTCTACCTCAGGGGGTAAAAAGATAATTGGTAAACATTTCTCGCCGAACTCGACCGGATGCGACACTATTTTTTCAACAAATCCTTACTCTTTACATTCTTCAACTTATTTTTCTTTTTGTAAATATAAATAGCGTTGATAATTATGACAATGGATAAGTCAACAAATTGGAAAATGAATTTTATGATTTATTTGATATTACAAATGACATGAAATTAATTTGTGCCATTAACTACCGGCGCGCGTATGTAATATTTAGTATAGTACATAATGTAAGAAAAAAAAATGATAGCTGAATGAGGATTTCTTATATATGCGTTAACTATGACAACAAGTTTTTATCAGGAAGTGTACATACATATGTTTTAGTGTTAGTTACTTTTTAGGAATATGTTGTACTACTTAAAAAGCTTTTACGAATCTTATCGTCTTTCTTTATCTTTTTCTATTAAAGTATCTTACAAAGTATATTCTAAGATCGTTTTTGTTCTATTTTATACTTTGAACGATTTTCCAATTGAAACTTTTGTTTTTATCAAATTCCTACCGTAACATTTATTTATTGTCATTTGACAATTATTTAGTAACATTTTCTTTCTCGATATCAAACGCGTTATCTTTCTACCAATGTGAAAATGATATCTTTATAACTGATAATTATTGATATTTTGATTAATCTTTCTCCTTATCGATAAACTTTTTTTTATCGTCGAAAGACAATGCGTAACGATCGAAAAGATCAAAGAACTTTATTCAAAGTTGATTGCCACACATAAGTTTGACATGTTTTGGTCCAACAAACAAGTTAATAATTAACCGATCAAATATTTCAAAATTAAACGATGACAAAAGTGGAATTTACTTATTTTTTCATTGTACTTTTTCCGAACGTTTCATTGTTGAATTAGCGTGTATACTTGCTTGCGCGCGCACATGTAAAAGACAAAAGAAAATGAATAGTGTCCGTGCACGTGGTTGTGGTTTGGAGGCTTTAACACTTTCGTCGGTGGTCGTGGTCGCGCATGGTCGCCTTAAATACGAGATAAGGTTGTAAATTACGAGAATAGAAGCGTTGTTTGCCTGCCTGCCTGCCTGCCTGCCTGCCTTCCAACCAGAGAACGGAAAACGCATGCGGGAGGCTACGTCTTGATAAGCTTTTTTCCTTTTTTTTCTTCTTTCTCTCGATTAACAATAAAGAGAAACATGTACATATATCGAGTTTAACGACACTTCCTTCGATTACAATATCGAATTTCTATTGGGTGGTTGGCCAATAAGTAATGTTGGATTTTTCCCTAAGAGATCATTTCTCTCAGCACTTTTTCTAAAGATTTAACTAATTCACTTTATGATTTAGATTTCATTACAATTATTTATATTATCAAACACAAATTATAAAATTAATTTTTTCAGTATTTAAAAGTTGATCGATGAGAAATTATACGTAGAGTACCCAATTTCGTGCAATTTCGCGCAATTTCGAGCAATTTTTGAGCGGAAATTGTGCAGCCCTCAATGAGTTATAACGGCTTGGAATATTAGTCAAGGAGATTAAAATCTTCCGCGATAATAGGATTTTAAATGTAACAACAAGAGGGAGCTTTATCGTATAACATATCTAATACTAAGTATTTATGCATCTATAGAAAAGATATTCTATAGAATATCAAAGTATTATGTTCAATGTTTAGGAACAACTGTAAGAATTCTTCTGTTTCCGACTTCATCGAAATGCTCTTTGCATTGATGAGAATGCCGAGGAATTACTAGCAATGGCAGATTTCCGGCTATGACATATATAAGAATTAAAGAAGAAAAAATATAAATAATAAAGAGATTGGATCTCTCTCTCTCTCTCTCTCTCTCTCTCTCTCTCTCGAGTTCGTTCTGATTACACCATTACCCACTTGCGCTTCCAATCGACGAGCCGAGGATGCGCTTGTAATTGGCTTACCGTAATTAGCATCTCGGAAGGGTTAGCGGGTACAGGGGTGGAGGAGAAGCAAATGAACGGAAAACTCAAGCGCCGGTCGACATAGTTTTCCTGACCTGTTGGAAATTCGCCAATCACGCGAATAGAATTTGCAGTTTAAAGAACGCGCGCGCGCACACACATAGATAGATACCTTTACATAGCCTAACTGTATAGATACGCAAGGATATTTGGATATACGAGAACTAGGTTTTTTATATTAACATTTTGGAAGTCTCTGCATAGACGTTTATCGCAGCGCGTACACGCTGTTCTTGTTTTATTTCCGTAATGGCCAAATAAACAACTTTCAACGGAAAAGGAAAATGAGTATAAAGAAGAAAGAAGGATAGACAAAATTGCGGAAGTTTATTAACGAAAGTTAATAAATTCGTTCGTCCTTATTGGTCGAGACTCAAAAGGTTGCCTCACACCGGTAGTTGCAAGCAGGTAATCAAGGTAGTTGGTATCATTGTTCGTCAGCCGGTTGCGCACAAAGAGACACTTCTCTCTCGGTTCAATATACAAAGAGAGAGAGAGAGAGAGAGAGAGTTGGCCGCCTACGCGCGTCGTCGTCGTCGTCAAATTGCGAAGAGTCACGTCGTCATCCTCTCTCTCTTTTCCTCCATAAAGAAGCGAGAGAAGAAGGGGGAAAGAAAAGAGTTAGTGGGAGATGCGAGAGAAAAGTGTGTGCGTGGCTAAGCGAGTATGGGAGAAATAGAAAGAAAGGTAGTGGGGGGAAAAGGAAAAGGTGAGTGGCGATGGGAGCACCCTTGGTGGGAGCACCCTCGGTGGGAGGTGGGAGCACCCTCGGTGGGAGAATCTTGCGAGTCTATCGCGAGCTTGCCGAGCGTGCGGTTATGATTGCCGTCGTCTTCGTCCTCCTCATCTTCCGAGTCGTTCAGTGGCTTCTTTTTCCTTCTCGAGGGAACAATAGTCTTACTCGCTTTTCCTCCTCATCCTCGTCCTTTCGGTGCTTTTCCTCATTCAAGGAGTCTCCTAACTTGAACATTCCACATTTCTTTATTCGTCCATCTTCCTTACTCGACATGGGTTAAACGGAAGACATTTCAAATTAGAGAGAGAGAGATAGAGAGTGGCGGAGAGGGTGGAGGAGGAGGAGGAGGAGGAGGAGGAGAGGATAGCGAAAAAATCCTTATTTTCTCAGAATTTCATTCATTAATTTCATTTATTTGTTTTCCCTCACCATCGACTCGCCGTCGACTCGCCATCGATTACGCGTATAAAGTGAAGGAAGCGTTTGGTTCTGTTATGAAGAGGAATTACGCGAGAGAACCTTTCGAAATCGCGCGTCTTTTCGAGCCGAGTTATACCGTTAAGAGCACAGACATCGGACGAATTCACCGTTAACGTAATAAGAAGTAAAGTGTATCGTTGGGAAAGAAAGAGACACAAAGAACACATATATATATATATATATATATATATATATATATATATATGCGTATGCATGTTGTATATGTAAACGAAGTACCTTGAAACTTACCAAATAATAAGCTCGGGGTTCGATCGATTTCTCTTGGACGAACGATCTCTCCTAGCATATACGTTAAAGCACATTCCTAAGTACAACATTCGTACTCGCGTGCATAAGAAGCCAAAAGAGAGAGAAAAAGAGGAGGGAGAGGGGTATTCGTGGCCGTCGGCCAAATAACCAGTCCACTTCGATCGAAAGCACCAAGAGAAAGGGAAAAAGATAAACGAAGAAGAAAGATCCTTTATCTCGTTATCGTTACTAGACGATACACACACCAGGCGTGTCGAGTTTTCTTAGAATCTTTTGCAGCTTAAGCAAAATTCAACAAGTAGTGTACGAAAGACGTTTGAATTCTTTCCTTCCTCTTCCCGTTTTCAATCGTCTCTTTTGACTATATCAAAATAATAATAATAAAGAAGAAGAAGAAGAAGAAGAAGAAGAAGAAGAAGAAGAAGAGAGATAGAAAATATCTGAGTCACTCGTGAATCATCGTTAACTGGAGATTTTGTTCACTTTTATGTAATTTTCCCGAAAGAGTAAGAAAGCGTTGTTTACCTTGTGTTGAGTTTAGAGATCGTTCGATGAAAGACGCGCTACTTGTATCTGTCGCTGCTTACGTAAGAAAGAACGTTCCACCGCGATAACTTTGCCAGAGAGCCTCGTCATACGATTTCCTTTTTTTTCTTCATGAGAGAAAGAAAGAAAAAGAGAAGCTAGCTGGACGAGTTTCCAGAACGCTCTGTGCATATTTATTTAGTATTCGCTAGCGTGTTTTTTACATAGTGTGCTGCGCTCTATTGTGTCTTACATGTGAGACCGCGCGTGTGTGTGTTAAATGTGTGTATATTATGCTCTTCTGAATGATCCAATAAGAAGACAAAGTGCGGATTAATTGGTATCGAATAATTGGTGGTCGATCCGTGAAAATAAGACAACTTTGAATAAAAATAAACATCATTTGGAAAGAGATATATTATTGTAATCGTTTGAATGACTTTTCTATTTTGCGGATTCGTCTTCGACTCGTCCGACGAGAAGACGAAACAAATGCCTGTCGCCTCGGAGGATTGGGTGGGCCACCCTCCGAAAATTCCAAACCCAATTCCAAGCTCGTTCGTAACAATTAAGGGTGGCAGCATTGAAAGCTACGCAAGTGCCAGCAACACAACAACCATCGCAAACACAACTACCGCAAACACAACCACCGCCACCGCATGGATGTCGCCCTATAGTAGAACGCCTGATCGATCTTCTCCTAATAACAACAATAATAACAACAACAATCATAATAACAATAACAACAATCATAATAATAATAACAACAACAATCACAATAATAATAATAACAACAATAGCAGCAGCGGCGTTGTTATATTGGAAGGATGCAGACCACCTGCGGCTACCACTGCGAGAAGATTCCTCAGGTGGTTCAGTAGACTCGGTCAACCACCGATGGGAAAGTCAGGTATAAAACAAGGAATTTATCATGAAATCGTGTCGAATTGATCGTGTTTTCGATCTTACCATTTATTTAGCTTCTTTGACAAATATTCATCGATATAATTTCCAAGTAAATCTACGATCGTTTAAATTCTTCATATTCTTCTTTCATATTCTTCTTTCATATTCTTCTTTCATATCGAGTTTTTAACGAGTCTACACGTATTGTCACACAGATATATTATTACGAGAAGCGAGGAACGTCATTTAGAGAATGGTGGAAAGAAAATGATCTTACTTACAATTAGTTGTGTAAAACCAGGCTTCTTCTTCTCTTCTATCCTCTGTCATTAGTTACAATTAGACTTTAATTATTGTTTTCTAACGCTCTTTGATTTTATAAATACTCCTATTATCTCTATCATCTTATTATCTCTTTTCATTTCTTTTTATTTTCTTTTTTATGTAAAATTATGGCCCATTAAAAGGTAGCCCCAATAATAAAATAAACTTTTATATAATACGCGTGCTGATAATCCTAGTACATCTAAACGTTTCTTTACTTTTTTTCATAAATATAAATGAAATAGTATAACAAATATATATTTTATCTCTTGTATATATTAGTTGTTACGTTAATGGTATTTTTTGTAGATTTGTTTTTTTACTTTTTATCACCGACGAGCTACGCAAGTTACTTCTATAGCTTATTGTCTTTCGTATTTGTATTCCATGTTCTTTTACATATGTATGTATCAAACTATTTCATTCGAGCGAAAATATTTTCTATTTTTCAAATACTTGGACGTCATCTTTTCCTGTTGTTCTTAATTATATAATCATCATTCCAATGATATGATCGATTATAATATTATTTAACTTTAGAGCCATACGTAATATTTAAAATATTTAATGCCATTTATAAATATAACTTTTATTTCTCATTTATATTTATTCATTACAACTTTTCCTATATTTTATAATCTTTATCTTGTAACTCTCTCTCTCTCTATAGCTTGAAATATGAGAAAAGATTGTTCATTTATTATCGTTTAGGTAATTAGTCTTCTAAATAATAAGTTTAATTAAATGCAAGTGAGTTGCTGTCCTTTAAATTTGAAGATGGTGGACGAAGGTTTAGCGAAAAATTTCAACGTAACCGCGCATTCCGATTAGACCTTGTAGCTTTAATTTCCGTTCTAGCACGTATTCCTTGCCATAAGTGGGTCACATGCGTGACGAAACACTCAAATTGGGCGGTTGGAGAGAGAGAAAAAAGCTCGCCTTACATTAACACAAATTCGTTCAACGTTCGCTCGATAGTTTCTATATTTTCGAAATAGGAACGCTTGTTTGATTTTTTTTTACAATCGATACGTATTCTTTTTTCGTACAAATATATGATACCTCTCGAGGAACGAATGATGCAACGACCTGTGTCGTCGAATGACGAAACTGATATTTCATTCACGAAATCGACTTTTGTATGTTCGAGTCACGTTCTTAACAACTCATTTACAGTTACTTGCTTTATTATACCTGGCATGGAATATGGCGAGTATAATTAATTAGTATTTGACATTTCTAAATATAATCATTCGAGTTACAACAAGTTTAGTGATTTTCTTCTTATTAGAAAATCTTTCGAAAGAGATGAATTTTCGTTGTAACATAATAAAAGAGAATCTCTAGGAATTGAACCATAGGATATAGAACCATATAGAACGGTGTCGTATAGAATAGCATTTATTGTTCGGCTTGGAATTTACTAACAAAACTATGGTGCTAAGTCATGACAACTGGGCCGGAAAGAGGATGAACCGTAAACTTGATAAATAAACATTAGAGTTCGCGATAAAAGCGGGTCGTTCGGTAAACGGATACTAGCTTGGATTCTTAGCTTTAATCGTTTGCCTTTCATTCTTTCCTTAAGCGTAAATGTTCCTTTTCTTTCATTTTTCATTTAGAAAAGTCACCAGCAGATAGATTTTCTTTTCAATTAAAGATAATGTGCTGTGATAATTATGTCAGTGGACTAATTCTACGGGAAAACATTGGAAAAATCAATTATATGATTTATTTTATATTCTAATAAATTCTTTGATTTAGATCACTATCATAATTATCGGTACAAATATAAATATTTGAAATTTTATAGAGAAATATGCTATATGAATTTTCAACTCGTTTTGGAAAACTCGGATCGGTGAGATATGCAACGGAGATGGATAGATTGATTGATAGTAACGTCATAGATGATTCAAAAATGCCCTCTTCGTTTTCTAACAGCAAAAACCAACCAGCCAGTTTTGTCACCTGTCAACTTTTGCACCTGTCGGCTATGACCAAGCGTGTGAACGCAAACTTCTCTCTCTCTCTCTCTCTCTCTCTCTCTCTCTCTATTGAAAATTACATTGAAAATTCTATTCAATTGTGTAGGCTTGAATGGTGTCTCGTAATTATTTGTTTGGAAGCTTGACCGAAATATTTAGTTGAAAATAACGAGCAACGAGAGCGAAACGCAAGAGTTTGCATATGTAAAGAAAATAAGTTAAATAATATCCGGTTTTTACTTTCTCCCTCTCTTTAGATATTTAAATTACAGACCCATCTTTCGGTCATATAATGTCAATAATAATAATTAGATTTCTAACGAGTTCGGAATCAAAGTAAAATTCGCGATTTGATAGGTATACGTAGTTTCTTCCGTAGGGGATTGTTCTAATTTTCACGAGGTACCTTTTAACGATCATTACAAATAGAATTTACGATCTAAACGGCTTAGACGATCGTCGTGGGTGTTAATAGTTTGTCATTCGATTCTATGCTCTTTCCCTATCGCACAGACGAAGGAACGTACAATTTCTATCTCGATTAGCTTTTGGGAACGAAAGCGTAGGCGAATGCGATCGAGAAGACGAGTGTTCCTCTTCTAATACAATAAATGACTATGCTGAGAAAATATTGAATATATACATATGTCATTTGTAGAATTTTTCAGAATATTTAATTGTTAGAATTTACAGTCAATCGAGTTTAACGAAATTATGGAATGTGTGGTGTATGATCGATAATTATTGCAGATACGTTCGTTTAAAACATGTTCTTCGAAATTCTTACGTCACTAACTCTTACGTATCTCGTTGTTCTGTTAAATCATTTTTCAATTTGAAACGTTGTTATTCCATTTACATGAACTTCATAGATCAGAAAAAATTGCGCGTATATTTATTTGTTTTCTTTGGAAGCCTGTGTAAGCAGAACGCGAGAGGGAGGCTGCTGTACTACGTCATTATTAAATGAAATTATTATTACGTCAAGATCACGCGATTGGAAAGTTTTCATATGTATACTTATGTTAGGCTATCATTTTGAAATGCTATCCGCGTTGACCATTGCCCTCCTTCTCGTTTTATTAATATTTTCCTTTCGTAATATTTTTAGAAAAATAATAACGTTTCATACTTCCGACGATTCAAATTGTTCTGCGTTTTGTTTTTTCTTGTATATATTTTCTTTGAAATATGGAAAATATCAGTTTGTTTTCTTTTTCTCTTTATCATCGGCAAGTTTCAATATCAATGTATTGTACAATGTGGTGCAATTAAAACACATTTAACGGTCAATCTAAGAGGAGGTGAAAACGAGTCCCTTCCCTGTATGCATCCTCGCGTTCGACTGGCCGACCATTTGGAGAACTCGTCACGATACCCGTCACCTTTCCAATTTTTTCTCCTCGACAAGAAAGCGAAACTATCGTTATTTTTCGAAGCACGTGCGCGGAACGAACCCTTTAGAAATCCTAAACTATTCTACGCTTACCTTATATAAACACATTTCTATCCTTACTTATTTAATTACAATGAAACGTATTATCTCTCCTATTTATATTTTATTCATTTTTAATTAAGAACCACGAATGACACGAGGTCAAGGATATATTCGTAAGTTGGTGTTAACGACTCCTTGTCTACTCTTTCGAGGTCTACTTTGGCAATATACGTACATATGTGAACAATGCGACCATTGTCATCGAGCGAAGATTGCAAGACTCCGGCTTTGTGTTGCAAGCTTGCGAAACTTTGTCTTTCTACGTTTTTCTAGGTTTCCTTTTTTTTCTTTTTTCACGCTTACGAACGTGTCGTCGTTAAATGGATTAAACACCATTGTATAATACTCAAATTATCTGATTTTATTTCTAATGAACGTCAAATTATGAGCTTTTCTTTTTGTACATTCGATCGAACCAAATCCTCTTTGTTAGAATATTATTATTATTCGAGATAAAGATGATAATTGGTTGAAATTGTCTTGAATAATAAGGAAGCCCCTCTCTTCCGTTATAACTCTCATTGAGTTCTCTCAACGAACTTACCTTGAAACGACTTACCGTAGTTTGTGTAATAACGGGAGCACTCTCGACGAGTATATATGCCTCTGAATGGGCTCACTATGTATATCGTATTTCAGGGATAAGTGTGTGATAATTAAAGAGTCATGTAAATTGGCTCGAAAATATACGCTCGTCATTGAAGTTATACGCTTGATAATTCCAATGATTTCCTTCAAACATATTTTCTTTGTTTCTCCGATAATAAAAAAGAAATGTTAATAATCGAGAACTCATGGCAAAACTCGTCGTTGTTGTCGAGGTTGCTTTAAATTTGCTCTTGGAAAATTTTCCTTTCTTTTAATAGGAAATGGGGAGAAAAATATTTGCGTGTCAAACTCGGATACGCGCATTATCTGTCGTATATACAATACAATATAGTACACGTATCACCAGGGATTTCTGTGAAGTGCATCGACCCGTTTCATCGTTAGATATAATCTTCCTATATACGCAGAACTACATATACATATATAAATACCCTACACGCAGCTGTTCATTCGATATCATATATTGTATAGCTCGTTCTGTTGAAAGCCACCAATCACTATACTTATACCTATTATACTTATACGTACGTACGTACCTACACGCGTAAATACTTTTATGTACGTAAAATATATAACCGTATATAC